TAGCAGAAGGCTTCCATAAAGGTAATCGATCAAACAATCTTTATTTCATAGGTAAACAAATATTACACTTGAAGTCATGGCATTGATTAAACTCTACTACTCATTCGTAAGGCAGATTCCTTTGAGAAGAATGAGTTAGAAACTCGAGGCTGTTTCTGTTTCGTTTTCTTGACAAACGATATTTTGGAATACAATGGCGTACCATCAATGAAAACGACAGCTAACGTTAAATTAAATATTTCATAAATTAAAATTTCTAATCAAAGTAGCGACTGTTTATTTTTAACCAAAGAAATTGCATCTGAATGAGCGATGACTATTGCACATTTTAAAACTAAAATAAAAAACTTAAATTGGATTCTTACTAGAAGTGTATACATTATAAAAGCAATTTTCGTTTTGGAGCTGAACGCTAATCCATTAGCGAATTATGGGATTGGTAAACCCATTTCATTTGATAAGATCGTAAACTCTGGGCGTTCGCACACCCTAAGCTAATTAATAGAAGACACTTTAAATGCAAATAAGCGGTACACAACACATAGCGATCTCGCTCGTGAGCCGTCAATTTTGAACGGAGAGCAAGCTGAGTGAAGCCGCGTGAAAACATCACGAGGCCATAAAGCGAGGACTATAATCGTTTGTCGTGGCTGCGCCAGCGCCCCAACCGCGCCCGGGAGCCGCAACACCGTTCCAAATGTCGGCCAGTAGCTTCGACAGTAGCTCGTTCTTCGTTTTATTACTCACTCTGCCATCGTTTTCGTTTAACATAAATTTCTATGAAAGTTCACGACGCTTTGCAATGGAATGACTTTTCCGTGGCTGTCAAGACACTATATAAAAATGGCTTTCCCAAGCCCTAAGGAAGTATGTTGAGACGGTAGTTAAAAAATTAAGAAGACACTAACTTGTTAACCATCGATTATAGACATTAATAAATATAACGTTTGAATGGTGATAGGTTGTGAAATTTCTCGAAAAATTTATCTAAAAACCAGCCTCGAGTTAAGTTTTAGACTGCGACTTTTAGCAGCGATGCAAACACGATGCAGTGGTGAAATTACAGGCACATCGGACTTGTCAACTTATGTCTTAAAGTGACGGGTGCTGTGGCAGTGCCCCTCAGACCTTTGCGATTTAAGGCTCTGAGTGGCACTGCAACTGTTATGGACAAGCGTGTAGCTTACCATCAGACGCACGACTTGTTCGTCCCGTCACTTGATGTTATAAAAAAAGTCGCTAATCGTCTACCTTTACAGATACGCTCGACTTTAAGCCGCGATGCAAACGCGCGACTGCATCGATACAAACGCTCGATTGCGTCGCTACACTTGGGTTTTGTAGGCGATTGCATCGATGCAATCGCGCGTTTGTGTCGATGTAATCGCGCGATTTTATCGATGCAGTAGCGCGTTTGTATCGATGCAATCGCCTATAAATCGCGTTTCAAGAACGCACGTTTCGACTCGCAATGAACCTTTTTATGAAAGTATTATTGATTAAATGTTTATAATTGCAATATCCTAACAATTACTTAAGTACGGTACAGTTGAAAAAAAAATCTATTTCGTTTAAACTATATTACGCGTTGTAACAAGGATCTCTTTGTAAGGAGAAGAAAATTGGTTTTAAACGCCTAAGGCGTAAGATGTGTTTAATTGTCCATCAAGTGTCAGTCATTCTTCGTACACGGTCCTATTTTTATTTTAAATACCATTACCAATACCATTTGAATTTAGCTTTCGGGCATACGTACTATATTAAGATAGATAGCTTTAAAAATGCAACTTGAATGCGAATACTCTCAAGATTATTCGAAATTCCGACGCCGCTCATATCTTTTCCATTTGCATTAGAAGTGTCATAATTACACTTATCTTACTGACAACTATTGTCTGTCAGACTGGGTTTTTAGGTGTCTGGCAGTGTTTCTGAATTGTTCATCTTAGTAATGATAGCTCTTTAAGTTAGTAAAGACCTAGCAGACTTCGCGAAGGAAACGAGGCCCATAATCGTTTGTCACAGAGGGATGTTGCGTGCTCTTTCACAAGACAATGACTTTAAATTCATTATCGCTTTACTATTTCTCCTATTTTTTATTAAATTATGCCCTAAACTTATTAGTTGTACTTTTTTTACTGTACTTTCTTCATCCATAGAAGCATCTATAAACTTCATATATTTACATCTGGTACGCATCCCATGGTAATGAAGATTTATATTAAAATACCCAACCAAATTAAACGTTTAGATAAAATTAAGGTATTCAATGAAGAACTAAAAGACTATCTAATACAAAAAGCTATTACAATCTGAATATTTTTTTCCAAGATAAATATTAAATTATATGATTTAAGACCTACTTCTATGAGGACAATTGCTACCGCCCCCCTAGGACTCTTCAGCGTTCTCTGGGTAGGAACAACTTTGGGAAACTATGTTTTAGCGATTATTTTTATTAATTTACAAAATAATTGCCCTCTGCTCTTTATTGCTATATTACAGGATATCATATAATAAGGACCTATATGTTATTTAGGACCTTGTTAAGCTATATCTGCAATAAATTGAATTGAATATACGTAGGTATATTGAGGCTAAAAGTATGAAATTCTCGTTTTAAAGTTCTGGCCACATTTGAAGATTTTTTTGTGTAAAATTTAGATTATAAACTGTTTGAAATATTAGGATATTATTAATTATATAATAAATATTAGGATTGTATATAACATACATACAAAAAAGATACACAGTTAATGAAAACAACATTTTGTTTTTAACAAATAAATTAAACATCAGAACTTCGCTTCATTTTTTCAGACGAATTACGTCCAGTATTGGACATTAGTTCGTGTGTCAGGAAGAGGGAGGCCCATTCCTGGCAGCTACACTTTGCATTTCGAGATTCTGGCATTTTGCTAATCTGGCATTCTGCGAATCTGGCATTGTGCTAATTTGACATTCTGCCCGTTTGACATTTTGCATTTCTGGCATAAACCGTCAAAACGCAATTATGTAATGTGTTTTACAATGTGTAGTCAATTTATGATATATGACTGTACACAACGTCTACTACATTCCTAACTACGAGAACCATAATTATGTATTAAAGTACCTTTAAAGAGGATTTCTAATGTCTTAATACACTTTAACTGTCGCTTAAAGTTAGTTTATGACTAACATTAACACGGCTTTATAAATATGCGCTAAGACTACGCATTTTTGCTACCAAATTTTTGGTTTTTATTTGTTTAATTTATTTGTAAATACACCTTGACTGGTAACAAAATAAAAAAGAAAGTGCATGTGCATTTGGAATTTATTGCAACCAATTTCTCCATATCGTTCGTTTAATATGCTCACCACATTTGCAAAACAACTCCTGCGCAATTGTACACTTAGAGCAATAAATATTAAACAAATATTATGGAAAAAAGAAATGCCATAACATGCGCACTAAATTATAGTTAGCCTGCTAAGATATGCATTACCGCTCTTAAAGATAATCCATAACTTTTATTCTGCACATTATGCATATTACAGAGCTTACCAGGAGCATCTTTTATTATGGAAATGTGTGATACGTAGAGTTAAAAGTAAATTGCTTTTATCATTTATGTTATGAATGCAAACCTTTCGAATCTTTTTATGACATTAATATGTAGTGTAATGCCGATCCACAGGCAAAAGCGTAATATTAAGGGGGAGTTGGTACTTACGCTTAAGAAATATACTTATATCAATTCAAAACTACCATAACGTTTCTTTTCACTTTGACTGACAACATAATTCTGGTCAAGAACAGAACATCTACCATGAGATGATAGAGACAGTTTTCGCTAGCGACTTTGTAAAATATTTGACATTTTTGTACGGCAAATTTAACTGCACCCCTAGCGGTTACGAGAAGAAGTAACATTTTAAATGCAAATATTTGACGCTGTCTCAGGCGACAACCTACTGTGAGCTCATTTATTTTATTAATTACTACCATACCATATATATATTACAGCAATTATACATTCAATATACGGTATTACATTTGATATATATAACGATAACGGTGTACATAGCATGTACTTTATACGGATTAATAGAATTACTATAAGTTTAAATGAATTGATAATTTTACCTACAGTTTGGGTTTGAGTTTGAAAAATTATAATTACATCATACAAAAATTATATTTTTTTTTACAAAAATACTTCTCGTCTCGTAATACACGTCTAGTTCGTGGATTCTACTGGTATTTTATTCGTTGAAAATTCAAATGAAATGGAATTGAAGACCAAGATTGGGTTTACAGGGGGGATATAAAAAGATTTTGTTATTTTGTTTCTTGGAAATTCATATGGGACATTTAGAGAAATGCATTCGTGTAAATCACTTGAATCAGTATATTAATAAGCTTGTGCAGAAAACAGCTCATGGTAGAGACACGGCATATTGTTAAACAATTCGAGTCATTCAATCAAAGTTTATTTGTATTCATCAGTAGAGCAACCCGTAAAATAATGTGAAATAATATAAAGTCGCCCTATACGTATACGTACGTGTTCTTCTGGTATATATAAGATTTGACTTGTTTGCGGATGGATGGTCAGGAATACTGTCAGAATGTTTGTATTATTGTGAAAAGAGATGCTTGAAAGGTACTTAATATTATATAATTATTTTTAAGTTGTTAATAATGTTCCTTTAATTATTATTAAACTGGTTTGTCCGTAATAATTAAAGCAATAAATAAATAAATAAATACTAAATATTAAAATACTAAACTTATTCCATACAGAAACTAGACTTAAAAAAGGAAGTTATATTATTTTATGTCAACTTCTGTTATATTTTACATATATTTCAATTTTCTGAATTATATGTATCATATGGACTCTTTGTGGTCTGTATAAATAAGATATTAATTTGACATTGAATTATTGTTCCACTATATGTTCCCACATAGTACCTACTGTTGCATTTAAACAAAGTCTTTTTTGTTACAGCATACGCTCACGGGTCATAGTGGAAAAGTGATGGCCGCAAAATTCCTCGGGGAGCCCACCAAGGTCATAACAGGGAGCCACGACCGGACGCTCAAGATATGGGACCTTAGAAGTAGAATGTGTATGTATCTCCACATTTTTCTCTGTATTTGTCCGGTTTTTAACTTCACCCAATAGTCTATTATTATTATTTTTCACTCAGTATTATAGAGATACCTATACCGGTCTCGCCATTTTGTGCTTATGATCGCTGGCTGCAACCGCAAATTTATTTTTCAAATCCCAATTTCAAGTACAGTTTGAGTTATCTATCTATAACTTCTTGACGGACTTGCAAAGAGAATTTAATATCAAAATCATCTAAGACAATTAGCATCACTAAGTTAAGTAACATACATAAGTAAAATCGGTGTTTGCTAAGAGGACAATACTGCGAGCGTACTCCATACAAACGATGCCTGAATCTGTTGTGGTCTGACTTGATTAACTACAGTAGACACGGCGTCGTAATATCTAAGGCTTGGTATTTATTGGTTTTCCGTTAAATTACATAGTGTCAAAGTTTTAAATTTTTGAGTTTGAAAATTTTTTCCTTCCAAAATTTCAGTTTTACCTACCCTTTTGAAAAATTACGACCGTGGAAAAAATAATGAATTCATTGTATTAATAAAGTATATTTACGCATCTTCTGTATTATTTGAGAGAATATCATAATGTCCTCTTAATGAATGATTCCTTTCAGATACCTCTTAAGTGTTATTGACTAGCACCACTATTGTTACCACTATATAAAGGACAATTATCCATGAATCAATTCTACTACCTAATAAATTCTTGCTTTGGTACATATATACCTAGAATTAAATTTTCGTAGCAATACAATTATTTCTCTTTACTCGTTGAACTCTTTTGTATAGACTTTGAGATAATAAATGCTACGCGTCGTGTAGACTTTGATGCTTTTTTCTGTTTTTGTCGGCTTTATTAAGGTACAACCCGACCTTAAAAAACGATACTGATAGCGCTGAATATAAAATGTACAATGATACATTGATTACCACAAATATGTCAATGGACGTTTTTGTTACTGCTATTGCTGTGACAACCTGCATTTCATTCGGGTTGTCATCATGGAATGATTATGATTGTGTTAGTATTCAATAAATAGAGAGAGAACGTATAATGAAAATATATAGCGTGTTAACAGAACAGGATTTGATAGGAAAAAAAGAAAAATCGGAAATATTACGGAATAAAATTTTGTTGTTCTTATCAAAAAGGTAGTTTAGTAATCCACTGCGTCCGATGTAAGGACACAAACGTGAATGCGAACGCAGTCACTATTATACATATTAGTCACTATTATATTATATATATTATATATATTCGTAGTTGAGTGCAAATTGTTTTGTATCGCAAACAAAAAAAGCACGTTATAGAAATAAGGCAAAACTTTATAAATGTATTTTATACAAAATATTCATTGATATGTGAAAATAATCTTTGAAGGAAATAATCTTTTTTATAATTTCCGTTACGTTTTCCATCAAATGCAATTCTGTTGTACAGCAAACAACCTCTTTCAACATTTGCTATAATTTATTTTCGTTTTGTTTGCGTTGTTGTTTCGTAATTATTTATTTACGTTGTAATTATTTACCAATGTTTCAATGCTTTGATTATGTCTTTCATGTTACTTTTTTCTTTATTCCTGTTTTATTTATTTTTTCTTTTGTTGTGTCATATGTGGTGCAATAAATAAATATATTTTCTTTCTTTACTTTGAATAATATTCCTAATACCCTGTATATCTATATACATACAGTATTTTCTCAATGTCATCGGATTGCCGAAAGCACACGTATATTAATTTCCATGGCCATTAATTATTAGATTTAATAGTAGATAGTACAACTAGTGTTTAAAACGCGTCATTTTTACCCGAGACGAGTATATCTACTCGAGCCGCAGACGAAAGTGGATACTAAAGTCGAGGGTAAAATGGGTTTTATGAACGAGTTGTTTTGCGAGGAAATTAAACAGCAATATTACAAATAACCGATTATTTAATTGAAATTGAATGTAAAATTACAACAATGAGATATATTTAATGTGATGTTTTTCTTTTTATTCTAGTGAATATAAATACGAACTTTAAAAGCATGAGAAGTGAAAAATCGATAATAATTCGAATTTTGAACATCGTACTTTCTTGTTGTCTTGTTTTGATTTCCGTGTGAACTATATAGAGCTGTAAAACTATTTTCCTATTTTAATTTACTCCATGTCAATAAACAAGTTAACAAAAATATAAAGTAAATAACGTATGCTTCTTGTATATAATCAAAAATGAATATTTTTCCAGTTATTAATCGTTAATTCATTTCCCATTGTCGTGCCGTGACTTTAGCAGCTTTCCTCCCATTGTATAAAAAATAAAAAATGTAACAGCAACTCTATATACTTCCAAGTAGTCTTAAAGCGTCCGGTCTGTACCAAAGGAAAAGGCAACTGAATAAAACCGGCGACAACCGAAACACGAAGTTTGCCCAGTGATGTTGAGAAAATAGAAGCACTGTAATTGCTGTTTTTTTTTTTGACATATTATATTTTTTCTCTTCATAGGTACAGAAACAAAATTCGCTGGGTCATCGTGTAATGACCTTGTGACATCAGATGGAGCTGGATCTACTATAATCTCGGGACATTTCGACAAACGAATACGTTTCTGGGATGTACGCACTGAGATGTCGGCCAACCATATAATGTTACAGGGCAAGGTGACGTCTCTCGATCTCAGCAGAGGTGAGATACTCATAAATATTTTTGTCACTCTTTATTAAAGTGATTATAACATGCTGCTTATATAATATAAGCACTCATCTAGTACAATAGAATAATGCTGAAATTTATTTAGCTTCAATCGTTACTTACAGGCAAATCGACATTAAATTACGCTTTCAGATGTAAATGTCTGTATGAGTTTAATGTGCGAAGACCAAAGTCGCTTTATGGATATTTTCGCCTTTCAAAATATGATAGTAGGCTTTAAAAAAAAATCAATTGTGCAAGTGCTATCAAACCAACCAAAAAATAATAACTTAAGCGATTACTATAAAAAAACACCAATGATGAAATCACTTTCGAATCGCGTTAGCTGTTTCTTTTAAACAATCTTACAGATAGATCTACGTATTGGACCACTTATAAGGTAACAATCACCATTGACTACTGGCTTGCATTTGTATATTGCCTCCTTCTCAAATTGAGCAATACAGGAAGCCGATCATCTCCTCTTCTCTCACGATTTACAACTTGACAGCTTCTATAAATCAACAACATAAACAAACAGTTACGTATTTTCTTTAAATGGCTTGTTAATTTCTATGGAGCGTAAGCTAATATTCACATGTAAATTGAATGCATTGCATATTATTAGTGGTATTCGTGTCAGTACGATGTGATTGGTACGCGGTGCCCATTTCCGTTACGCGTCTCTCGATCAATCCCATTTTCGTCGGTAACGGTTCGAGCGCCTCACGAATCGGCAAGATTGATACCTTCAATCACTTGGTGTGTCAGGACGTCAGTGCTTCGAAAACTGATTAAATCACGTCGAATTCGTCGCTGACGACCTACGACGACCGACGGACAAATGAATAGGGAGTCGATTCACAGTTAACAGTCACGGACGATCCAGATCCGTCAATGCTATCGGCCATCTTTACCCAGACAGCAACCGCTGCGAGGTACACATTCTTCCTGACGCACTGCACTATACGGATTGACTCTTCCCATCAATATGAAAAATTTTAATTGGACAAGCCGGAAAGCATCACCAAAAATAGCATACAAATATTTTCGTAGCTCTGTAGTGGAGGCGATAAAATACAGGAAAACTTTCAGACGTACAAACCATTGGTTTATTTGAGCTACTTTCACAATTTTATGACACACAGCATTTAGCTTTGGTGAAATGCCGCCGACATTTAGTAGAATCGTTATTCTACTGAAGCGTGCTTTAGACAAACGCCATTTACGAACTGAGCCGCTTTGTGTATCTGGGACTTACGTCTTAGATTAAAAAAAATTACATTCTTAATACTGACATCACTGTTATACATATAACACTAATACTTCACAAAGTCACAAATTCAGCAATACACAATAAAATTCCGGTTGATATACAAGGTTTTGAAGCTGTCGTGAAACTTTACACAGTTTCTTTGTGTACTTGGATGTCCAAATCTATTGAAGTAATCCGATTGACTTTTTCAAGTTGCTTTTATCCATGATTTTTTTTTTCTAAAGTTTAATAAAAGTTGTAAGTAATAAATGCGAACAAATATCTAGTTAGATAGAGCAATCACTCGAATTTTTTTACCAATTAACGAGCTACAAATGAAGTGTACTGTTGAATATACATTATTTACTCATATAACTACTTCCAGTGTTGTGTAATTTTTGTCACATTTCAAATATATATTTTTTTTGTTGCGGTTCTAGATGTGTTCCTATAGTAAAAATTTATCCCATTAGTAGATCACCCCTTAATAATCAATCTTAAGTGTTATTGTGCATAAATATTCGTAACGCTCAAACGTATCTGCCTCTCTACCTCTTTGTTCTTCACATTTAATTTATGACTTATAACAATAACTGCCTCTGTGGCCGAACGGTTACCATGCTGTTCTGCCACGCAGAGGTTCCGGGTTCGATTCCCGGACCGGAAGAAATATTTGTATGGCCTATATTTATTTCTCTCGTGAATTTAGGTTTAATTTGTGGTTGTCTATGTTTGTGTCTATGGCACCCGCGATACAGGGTTTCCCTAGTGCGGGGCTATGAGTATGTGCGTTATTATTATTATTATTATTATTATCATTTTATACATATATACGTTTGTACCCTGGCTTTACGTCTGGCACCCGCGACTCAGGGCTTCCCTAGTGCGGGGCTATGTTGAGTGTGTGCGTTATTATTATTATTTTTATACAATTATTAATTCAAGAATTAAACACTAAAAAAATCCTTCGATCCGGCTGGAGTATTTTCACAAAGATAATTGAATATCGTGGTCAAACATCGTGACATTCATTAAAAACTTTAAAAAAATTACGTCTATATAATTTAACAATAGATGCTTATTTTAATTCTATTTTCGCAATAAATTTATTCAACCCAAGTCTAGACGTCGCTTTATAACAGTAAACGAAATTCGCCCGCATGTTGTAAAACATTGAAGTACCATAGATTTTAGCTTTACTTACTGAGGTTGTTAATCTTTAATATTATTGCATCCCAGGTCAGTTGTCTAATTGCATACCGAAGATATGTTTCTTATTAGGTAAGATTAATAATTAGTAAACCTGAACTTATATGTGTAATTTAAACAAATTACTAACACAAATGTACAAATTACATTACAAATATTTGACTTACATAATTACGTCTTTTATATTTAATATTGACGTAATAAACGTACTATGCATGTGCCTATCTGAAACTCAAAATCCCCGCTCCCAACCTAAGTCTAAAGTTCTTTTTCGTCCTACTGTACCCGTAACATATGCTTGAAGTTCACCTGCCTCTATTTCTTTATTACTCGCTAAGCTTTTGAGTTACAGCCTTAGAATTCCGCTTCGTCTTGACTATATCTTTTTATAACGGATGCGATTCCAAAAAGAGCGTCTTATAGGCGTGGGAGATTAAAAATGCGATATAAAATGTGTGCCGAACATAAAAACCTTTTTTAGTAAACGTGCAAACTGGACATTTTAGTGTTGGCATACCATACCAACTCATAATATATTTTCAACATCTTTCATGACGTACAAAATGACCACCTGTTAGTTGTAACTCTGTTTTATTAGTACTTAAACTGAATAACATTTTCAATTTATACATTTTTTTACCTAAAATGGAATATTTTAGTTTAATAGAAAATTTCTTCCAGTTCCAACTCATCTAACGGAACGAACATTAACTTGATAGAAATTTCGCCAACAAAATGCTCACTTTAAATCGTTCATTCAAATACCATGAACTGAACTCGCAAGGACCATGCAAATTGGACTGATTTAATTTCGTATTCGATATTTGTAACGCACATATCATAGCCTCGCACAAGGGAAATCCTGTATCGCGGGTGCCATGCACACACTTAGACAACCACAAATTACACCCAAACTCACGAGAGAAATAAATGTAAACCATACAAATATTACTCCCGGCCCGGGAATCGAACCGGGAACTTCTGCGTAGCAGTCCAGTATGAAATCCGTTTGGCCACAGACGCAGTTTGTTTCGTTATACGGATGAAATATCTTTGTTGGCGAATGATTGAAAGACTTCCCGAAATCTTTTGATACCTACTTTTGTATATGCAACACATACATTTTGCTGCATAAGCCTGTATGGTATAACTATGCCTCCAAATTAAATTCGTGCCTTAATGTTTCTATGAGCCTCATTTAGCGCTATAAAGCGATTTACGATACGTGTTGACTACTAAATATTATTATGTATTACAGATAGCAACTACCTTCTGGCGTGCGTGAGAGACGACACAATACAGCTAATAGATCTGCGTATGAACACGATTGTACGATCTTTCAGGTATGACTGGGTTCAGTTTATTGTTCAATTAGGTGAGAATTCACAATAACATTTAGATTTTTTATTGTTATTACGGTGAAAGGAGACTCATGTCCTAAAGTGAGTTTCTAACGAGTTCTTAGGTTTTCGCAATCATTGTTACATGTTAGAAATATTTTTAAAGCATATTTTTCGGATATAAATTTGGGTATATTTGTATGTATACAAGTTCTATGGTCACGTCTGTTAGCAAAAACTATTATTTAATCTATTATTTACTTTAAAATGCCTATTGCTTTGGAAAAAATATTATTGATTTCGTTATGATGGAGAATTTAAAAAAATAAAATGACAACACTGGGTGTGACGGCGAAAGTCATCAGACGGGGTCGTATTATTAGAAGTTAAAAGAATAAAAGGAATATGTTAATTAGGGCCCTGCAGTGATTATTCATTGGTTCTTTCCTATATCGAATCGATTAGATAAGTTAACACGTCCGACTAAGATGGTACAGTCATCTGACCTGCAAAGGGCCCGAAACGTCCGCTTGTTGGAAAAAATAAACATACGAGATTTAGATCTTCACTTCTAACAAGTTTTTAACTTTAAGAAATTCTGACTTGTAACAAATCTATTGAACAAAATATGGTCCGATTACATGTACTGAACTCGCTCGTAAAATGGTTCCAGTTAATTTTATTTTACCTTGTATAGTCCATTAATAAACATAGGTCTCCACTAAATAACCATTTGCCATAATATTCACATCTGAAAAGCGAAACAGTAAAAATGTTAGCATTATATAAGGTATACGAGGTTCTTATTTACTAGTTGATATCCTTTCAAGAATAACTATTTCTCAGTAAATGTTTATAATTACTCCAATCAAATATTTATTTAAACTTTACTGCACACAAAATAGTACAAATGGCGGATTGAATGTCATTAAGCATTCTCTACCAGTCAACCGGAGAGCTCACTACAGAACAATTAACAAGGATGCATAACATGACAATTAAAAACAGATACTTTCAAAGTTTATAAATAATTATTATGATACTTGTATAATTTAAACACAATATAAATATACATACATTATGTAACATATAGTACATGAGTTTAGCTCATGGAGGTAGTCTCGATCTCTGATGTTTCAAATAATAATAAAAAAAATATTGTAAATGTTATTTACAAAGAGCAACCCCTAGAGTTTCTTGCTCATTCTTCTCAGGGGAATCTGCCTTGAATGAGCGGTAGAGTTTAATATTGTGACGATTTCAAGTGTAATAATGCTTACCTATAAAATAAAGATTATTTTGAATTTGAATTTGAATTTAGCTATATCAAATGTATGTATAGAGATTATTTTTTCACCTTTCGCTAAGAGGTCCCTCTAATTGTTTAGTTTCACTAAATGAAAATTACCTCAAAAGAAAATTAGTGAGTAAATTAGAACCTTATTTAATGTATTACATAATGTGACGTAATTTAAGTAATCGTTTATGTACATTCTTAGATTAACAAACTTAATCGTGTATAAAACGTATTTTATTTACCTCGACGTTTCGAACGTGTTGCAACATTTTTTTTATAATACCAAGCGACAGGATAAATAAGTTGTGCGCCTGATGGTAATAGGCACGCCTATCCTTAACAGTTGTAGTGTCACCAAGAGCTTTAAATCGCAAAGATCTTAGGTACACTGCCACTACGCCCGTCACACTGAATAACACATAAGTTGATAAGTCCTGTAAATTCATCAGCACCCTTACCCTCCAAAACTGGAACGCAGTAAAGCTCATATTACTGCTTGGCGGCAGAAATGAGTAAGGTAGCAGTACTTCCCTGGACGAACTCTTTCACAAGGAACTCTACTGCTACAAAATGGTCTCGAAAGGACTCCCTTCGTCTCGAACACGTCCGGAACGTCGACGTAAATAAAATACGTTTTTATACACGATTAGGTTAAGTAAGAAATTAAATAATGTGTGAAAATCGTGAAAGTTTTTCTTGCATTTTTCTTTATTTCTAGAACTTTTAACAATATGTTTAGACTTAGTCTTCTTAATTCGAAGTTATGTTTTCACTAAAACTGTTTTAGAAGATGAATTGAAAACACTTTTGTATATTTATTTATTTATATATATTTATACATATTGCTTTATTTTATTATAAATAAATAATCAATCAAGGGTAGAGTCGAATGAATAGATTTTTTCATTATTTGTTTATTATCAAATGTCACAATTACAATTTATATCACAATTCAACGGCATGCGTTAAATAAAAAGTAAAATTACAATAATCTTCGAAAGATAAGACCTAATTTACTATAAGCTTTTAAGATTGGTTCATCGTGTTTTTAGAACCAGGTCAACACGGGAAACTAAAAACAGTAATCAATTAAGAACAACTTTCATTGTCGCCTTTTTTGTTTATTTATCCATTTAATCGGTTCGAAGACTTTTGACAACACAGTGGCGTGAGAATCGATGCAGAAATATATTGTAATTTGAGAAAGGCAGTATCCTTCTTTGCTTTTGTATGCCATAAAAAATGTGTTATCTACCTTATTAGATAGTATCATCCTCCGTCTTTTTGTAAAATAAACGGTGGGTGTCCGTGATAGGTTTGTGCTTATAATGTTTCACTTTGACCCTTTCTTAAGTTTTCGTGATTCTTACACGTAGGAACTGAGACTATTTTTTCGGATCTAAATCGCGAATATTTGTTTCTTTTTTTAAATAAACCAACGTATCGGGCCCTTTACAAGTCCAATAGTTACTACTGACTCATTTTTGCGATCCGAATACTAATTTCATTTCCTAGATTAAAATTCAGTAAGAAAGTAAAACATTATTGTAATGACTCAAACATATGTAGAATAGAAAAGTTACTATTTATGAAACATTCGCAGTCTTGCTCAGGTGTCGAAATAACTTTAATACAATTACTAAAAGCGTATTGTACTCGCAGAGATAAGATTCAATTTCATCCGGCTTTTGCGGAAAAAACCTTCGTGGAACACATTCATTTATTAGTCTTCTATTCTGCTACATAAAAGCGTAATTCTTACCGGTATAGCACCCATCGAATAAAGTTACGAAATTCGCTAAAGGTGACTTTTCATTTTTAAAGTATATAATGGTATAAATTCTAACATTACAATGGACAACTTGGGTGTCCTTTAAACTTTAACACTTACTATTGTTCTGCTTTCAGTCACGAGTCTTTCAAGGTGGGGTGCGATTGGTCGCGAGCAGCGTTTGGACCTGGCGGGCGGTTACTGTCAGTCGGAGCGGCAGATGGTGCCGTCTACGTATGGAATACGCATTCGGGACGACTTGAAGCAATACTCAAAGATCATTCGTAAGTATTTTGTAAACTTTTACTTTTACTTTTTCCCTCTTACCAGAGTTATACTGCTCTCCTTATAACTAAAGTAATCGACATTTGTAGCGAAATTGAGTTATTAACATATGCGGAATCAGCAAAACGAGATCTACAACCCCCTATGAGCAATATTTATTTATATCTTATTTTAGTTTCAGTTCAATTGAAAAATCGTGTTAAGTGTAGAGGGCTGGTTGCTAATTATTTTAGTGATTTAGAATGAAAACCAAATACTTGAAAAATTAACACGGTTTATTGTAAGCACAGGCAAGGGACGAAAGGTACAGAGACAATTTTGACAGCTGTGAGTTCTTATACAATGACTTACGTTTACGTACATTCAGCCTAATTTAAAATTAACTATTAATCAATAAATTAAAATTAATTAATTATCATATTGTTGAAAAATCTATTTATCCTAATATATTAAAATCTACTAAAAATACAAAGTTTTCAACACAGTGTAATTGATATTTTTCAAAGAAAAAACTAGGTGTCAATATCTCTAAAGTTAGTAAAATGCAAATGCGTTAGTAAATGACAAGGAGGGCAGTGTGGTGGTCAGTTTCTCTGTGCTGTGTTGCCATCCTCCTGAGAACGACACACCACAACATAGTGCAAGTTTGTAAGTTGCTCTGCTAATTTTAATATCGTCTGGGCGGTTAATCTCAAATCAGTCGTAAGTTTTTTCAGGAAGGGCACTACTGTTAGAGGATAGTACATACACTAATGCAGATAGAAATTTCGAAGTAGTAATCTGTAACCTACCTTTAGAAAATTTAGATACAATGTAGGTTTAATCTTTAGTAAACAACTTTCACGCCCTCGTGATTGTGGGCAATGACTGTCAGTGCGTTTGCATTTTCTTAAATTTGCATTAGTGAGGACCAATTTTCAACTTCGAAAGAGTACTTCGTGTGAGGCTTAGCCATTAGAAACTACATAAACAGGCATCGTTACTTTTATAGTTTGCATGAACATTTTATGTATTTACGTAGGTTAGTACCTATGAATTTTAATAAGTTTGTTTGTTAGTAATTATAATTATACACATCTAAATACTCCGACCATATTTATGACAACAGTTATCAGTAACTGAACTCTCAGTAGGTTAATTTATACCTTAGAATTTTGATGAGTTTGCTTTTTGAATGTAGTTACATACATATAATAAATCAACTTTATTTATGTCTATGCATAATAATTTATAAAATTCTGTAGTGTCGTCTTAAAGAAGTATGTATGGGTAAGTAAATCAAGGATTAGTCATCACTTCACTAGACAGAAAAGCTGAGATCCAACTTTGAAAATTTTCACATTTTTTGCATCTCGTTTAAAAATGATTGCCAAAATAGTCATCACGTGTACTGATATATAAGACCTCGGCACAAAAGTTGTAGTTATTTGCAGCAAAAACTGACGCGGTCACTAACCTGGCTTGTTTCACGTGGATACAAGTCCACACCGACTAATCTTCGCATTGCATTGTGGGCATGTCAAGCTGCGAATCAACGGGTTTGTCCCGGAGCCTCTACAAGCGTAATGTGCATTCTACGCTTATTGCCCCGCCCCATTTGCTTACAATCGCACAGTTTCCTCATTAGTCGCGAGAGCCACCCTCGAAGTGACCCCGGAGCGCACTTGTAATAAAGTTTTCTGACCTTGAATTCAAAACTAGAATTGCCTTGCTCGTGACATCGTTTAGTTTCCTCGTAACATTTTGCATGGACAATTGAAATCGTGAGGTCAACATTGGCCCGGGCTGTCTCACCATTGCAAATTTCTCTTTCCCATTACGTACTGTGCATATTTGCCTGCGCTAGGCAAAGTAGTAGGTGTCTCTACTATGAGAGGAGTAATTAAATACCGCTACGAGATCATGTTACATTTAATTCATTAGCAGACGTCTGAGGAATTTGTCTACTGTATACTACACGCGTCATGTCTGCCACGCATATCTACACCTATTTCTGTGTATAAACAATAAATTTTCATTTCTACTGCGTAACATACAACTGTTAGACAATTATACTTATGCAATACAATGTAGGCATTGATTTACGAAGAAGGCACTACGACGCCCACAGTACGCCTCTGTTTAACCGAGTCTTTATGTTCCGTGTGGGGTTCAAAGCGCCCTCTAAATCTCTGTAAATGAAACACAATTGTCCTCACGAGCCGACATCTGTCCTGCGAGGGTACTACGATGCAATCTGACATAATTCGCGCTCCGCCGTCGCGCATAAAGGAATAAATAATATCTGTAACAGAAGGACTAAAGTTCGAGACCACAGAAACGGTCGCCAACTAACTGAATACACATATTTTCGCTTAGTAATGCTCGTCCTCAAATATCTATTTGAGTGCATATCGGCACGTTTGTTCCACAGCCCCGGCGCGCTCGATTCTAATTCAATATTGAAACAAACATTACTACGGTTATCTCGCGTTCGCACATCGATACCGTTGCGACATAAATTGCAGGTTTATCTTCATAACGCAAAATCAATTTATATTGCATGGCGGGACTGAGTAAACTTGAAGGGGAGTGCGAATTGGTATTGTTTTCGGTTGCCCTTTCAAAGCTATATCACGCCTCGACCACCAGCGCATTGATTGCACGCCCCCACTTTACTTCACCACTTTCTTTGCATATTGAAATGCAAAGTAGGTTTGTATTATATTTATCGAAGTATTGATAACACAAGTAAAGACCCAAATTAGTCACGTTTAATTTAGCTATTTTGCACGATTCCTTCACTAGGTTCGCGGAGTAGCAAATGAATTTACTTCCATTTTTATTAACATGGACTTCCGCAAAGTAACGCCTGAATCTATTAATTAGATCGGTGATATCTCACCTACCGCACCTTCTTCAAATTCCTGAATCATCTAAGATTGTCTTCCAGTGAATAACTATCCAAATCAAGCCTGCGTTTGTTTATCACGCACCACAGACTAGCTTAGGCCACATTGCTAATGAAACGGGGCGCCGTTCCCCGACTAATAAACGAGTTTCCGCTAGAATTATCTAATGCTTTAACAACCACCTAACCTCATATACAATACAATACAATACAAAAAATACAATATAAAAAATAAACTTAAAAATTACTTTGTAAACAGCTTAGTCAATTGCAATAAATTTGATTGTTTATAAATTTATTTATCCGATTTCTGTATAATATTCTTGGTTAATGATAAATTATTTATGCAAATTACTTAAATAGGGTTAAAGTATGAAATTGCCGTTTCGCACTGAAAAATTAAAACAATTTTTTTTAAGATTAAATATATTTGTTTAATCAAAATTTTTTCCCTTGTTGTCTATACATTTCTGCCATGTAATCGGAAGGTCATTTAAACCTTTGCGATAGAAGTCTGGAGACCTGGACTCCACAGCTGTGTGAAGGGATTTTTGTACTGCTTCCTGGGAATTTTATTTCCATACAAAAAAAAATCAAATTGCGGGAAAAAATGGTAGTCGGTCGGGGCAAGGTCCGACGAATATGTAGGATGATGGATAATTTATATCTGCAGGTCTTGTAGTAGTAAAACTGTTTCTCAAGCAGTGTGAGGTGCTGCGTTATCATAGAGCAATAACGGTGAAGCTGTTTTGCTGCGAGTTCCGTCGTCATTATTCAAACGCCATATGTCATATTGTGGGTATGCTAACATTAAACCATGACGTTTCGTGGTAGTTTGATACGGATCGGCTTCCATCATTACCTTCAATTCAACGTTATTTACATTTGTGACTGGTCTTCCTCGTGGTTCTTTCTTCAAGTCGTAATTTGCCGTATTGCCGGCGTTTGCCGTATTTGCGTATGCCGTATCCTCTCCAAATACAGCATTGACAGTTTCTGCTACGTTAACTCCATGTGGAAATTCGTATTCGAAAATTAGGTATTCAGATTTTCGCTGTATCTGTCTTCACGTTAAAAGCTGAATGTAAAAACAATTGAAAGTCGAACAATCAAATATTATGTTTTTTAAGTTAAGCATGTTTTACTTTTCGTGTGAAAAACGTTTCACTCTGAAATCGGACACCATACAGGTTTAATTTTAATTTAAAGTGGCCAGTAAAATAAATCGGCAATTTCATATTTAAACCCCTATTATTATAAAATGCTTTTCTGTTAACAAATTGAACTAATATACCTTAATGGTTTAAAATACGACTAGAAACGTTGTGCATTACCACAGGCCACATAAATCTTCCGTGTGTATTACGTTTGATATATTGAATAAATAAAAATAATTAAAAAATATAAATAATAATGTGTTTTAGCTAGGGCTACAAACACGTGCCTCCTCGAAAACTCACGACAACGACGACTTCTGTATTTTATACCTCATTCTTTATAATTTTTAACAAGAATATAGAAATATTATTGTTAAAAATTCAATTCGGAAAAGAATAATCAATTTGTAGAAACTTTCAGAATTTTTTTATGAATATTGGAAAACATTATAATAACTGCCATAATTATATAGATAATGTATTATCAGTTCGATCATTACCACCAAATAATCTAACAAAATTTCTCTTTACGAGAAAAATTAGCTCTTCGAACGCATTTCAACGACAAACAGACTCTTTTATAGATCAATGTACTTAGTTAAAGATTATTCACATAAAGTTTAAAAAAATATTACTTAAATATAGACTCTCACTACTTTGCAGAATTGCAGAAAATATCGTTTCTTCAACGGTAACACGAGTACGTTAATATTAACGTTTAATAAGTATTCACCTTTAATAAAAACTTAAACTGTTAAAAAGAATAAAATCAAAATGTGCACACTTCCGGATATCTTACAATACCCAGTGTGAGTTTGTATTTGAATGTTATCTGCGCAGACGCAGCATGCGGCCCTCGCACAAATTAACAGAACATGCGCGACACGTATTATCGTCGGAAAACTATGATTTATTACTAGATAGCATCGTGGCTTACTGATTTCTATCGAGG